CCATTTTAACAGTATTGAGACATTTGTCTTCTACCTCGTTGATTCTGGCTTCTACCTCTTCAATTCTATTCCTTTGCCCTTTCAGTGTCTTGTCCATTTTTGATATTTTATTATTAATCGTTTGGACCTGTTTTTGCAGATTTTGAATTGTTTCCAATGCTGTATATATCTTATTTGATTGTTCCTCTAGTGCTTTCCTGACTTCTTTCTTATTTTTCTCAACCCCTCTGTGGAAGTGTTTGGATGTATCTCACTATCATTCTCCTGAATTCCTTTTCAGGCATTTCCAAAGCCTTCCCTCCTTCCAGTGGGACATCTAGATCTACCTCCAGATCACTTGCCTCAGTCACTCTATCTTGTTTCTGGACTTGTGCCAATATGGTCAGCTGTTTCTTGGGCATCTTCAATACTTAGGTGTGAGTAATAATTATATGAATGTATGCTGATGTTCTGTTATGCTTTCTGTTTGCCTCCAGGTGGATGTGATCAGGAGATGGGCTTTCCTTTTCACTTTTTTAAATTATTCAGCTCAGAGTAATGGTACTTGGTGTTGGCTGCCTGTCTGGTGTATAGCAGCTGGTATTGGCTCTTGCCTGGATGGTGGAATTTTGTAGGGTGTAACTGTAGCTTGACTATATGACTGCAATTGCTGTTTCTTCTTGGGTAACACAGGGGGGAAAAGAGCCCCCTGAAGTCACAAGGGGGACCAAAAAGTAAAACAGCAACAAAAAACAAAAGCAAAAAAACATATTAGATACTACAGTCTATAATCACAGAAAAAAGGGGGAAAATTCTGTAGCAAAATATGAGTATGACTTTAAAGTCCCTCTCTTGGCTTCTTGCCTTCAAGGCCACCTGAGAAATTTCAAGATGTGACTGTTGGTCCTTATGACGTTACTCAGGATTTCATTTTAGGCCTGTTTCCTTTTCAGTCTGTCTCTCTTCCACTCCAAAACCCCCGTTCAGGCCTTTTCTTACTGATAAACAGATCAGGGCTGGTTGTAGCCATTTGGGGCAGCCGTTTGGTTTTAAGCCATGCCTTTCCTCTTCTTAGATTCTGCTGAGTAGATCCATGCACATGCATAGTAGAAACTTCCAGGAGTGGGAGTGGGGTGTACCTCATTCAGGCACCCCCTCTAGTCACCAGAGTGGAGTGTGCAGACAGCAAGAGACCAATTAACAGAGAAAATAGAAAAGAATGTTCACACTTTATCTCCAAGTATGGGTCAGACATTTGCAGTGGGAACACTCGTCTGATCCTTCACCCACTCTGTCACTCTCAAGATGGCCACTCCATGAGTGGTTGGGACCAGCATAACAGAAAAAAACAAACAAACAAACAAAAAACAGTGTTATTGCTTCTGCAACAAATTCCCCTGGCTGTAAACTTCTTAATGTTCTAAATATTCCTTTATATATAGTTCAGAGTTATGGGACCATCCGTTGAACCTGCCTCGTCTAGTATTCTGTATTATTGCTGGCGGAGGTCTACACCACACTTCTCCCTAATTGGCCATGGATCCCTGCCCCCAATTGCTTCTTTTGTAGACTTTTTAACAGTCATAGTATTTTCAATCTTGCTTGCCATTATCTATTCAAACCCCACTTACAGAGATACTTAATATCTCTAAGTCATGAGCAAAGAGTTAGAGATGCTGAGGTTCTGCAGAGTGGATTGGTTTGCTTCTGAACATTTCCCACATCTATGGGAAATTCCAGCTTTCTTGGCTATGCTCAGTTGATACCACATGTTCATCTGCTCTCCAGCTTCCAAAATACTTTTACTGTGTTCTCCATTATATTTGATCTAGGAAGTTTATGTCTTTAAAACAACAACAACAACAACAACAACAACAACAAAACCTCTTACTGTCATTTTAGAGAGTTTCAAAAAGAATGGTGATAAATGTCTATGTTCAGTCTTCCAGATTTAACCAAAAGTTTACCTGTTTTTAATACCAAATTTTATGCTTATAATTTTAAATTTTCAGGTGATTATGTCTGATTTATATGTGCACCTAGATTCCTTAGGTCAGCAGGTCCCAAATGGTGGTTCCCATGTAAGCAACATCAGCATCAACTAGAAACTTGTTAGGAATGCAAACCCTCAGATCCTACCCCAGACTTACTGAATCAGAACCTCTGATAGAGATGTCCAGGATTCTTTGTTTCTAGATGCTTCTGGTGCTTGCTAGAGCTTGAAAACCACTGCTACAGATGATCCAGGGATTTTGCAAGTTTGAAATGCACTACCCTACTCAACCTCAATTCCAGATCCAACTCTTCAAATCCAAACTATCAAGGTTCCCAGGAGAATAAAAGGACTGTTTTGAGATGGAGCTATCCTCCTTGGAGCACACTTATGGATTTAGATGTTTTTTGTGTGGTTTTATTTTTGCCATGACATCTAGTTGCTTCCTCAAACCACCTTCTAATGCTCCTAAATGAGGATTCCTGAGGCCAGGAACTCTGGCAGACAGGCATAGTGTGAGGGAAAAAAATGCAGTCTGACCTGGAGAAGTTTGGACAGGAGAACGTATCAGGGACTCATTCCTCTTCCACATCATCTACCATCAATAAATTGGAAGAGGAGACTCCAGATTTCCTCAGGATGAGGAGCTTCTAGGAGTCTCATGGGACAAGAAAATGTTTGTTTTACTTGTTGAATCTCCAGACTCACTCAAGGAGAGGGTGTTAACACTGTAAAAATTCTTATCTCTGTCATTACTGTCTCTCTTTATTCAGAGCAAGGGAGGCTGCCTACCAGTTCAATCACACATAAGGGAGTTTTCAAAAGTCTATGAGAAAAAACTGAAATAAAAAAATAATGACCCCCCTTTCAAGACTGAGACTCAAAGGTAATACACAAGCAGGCATGTGGTCTTGCTGGTGACCACATTGGTCTACTGATAAGGGAAAGTGGGGTAAAAACAGCAATAAAGTTGGGAGCTAAGTCTGACCATGTTCAGTAGACTCCTGTCAACCTGGGTTGAGACCTGGTTAGCCAGCAGTATGGCAAGGCCTGGGGACTCCTGGGTCCAGGGACAGGGACATGGCTACAGAGGAATAGAGTGGAGAGTGGAGCATCCGGCTGATATGAAGTGAGGGGAGGTGAACAAGAACACCTATACTTGAAGATAGTACCCACTTGACCTGACTTCAGTGGCTGGATGATCAGACCTCAACTAGAGGAAGAAAGAAGAGGAAAAAAAGAGTAATCTGCTACAATTTGATGAACTTGACCTATACTTATGGATGTAGTAGCTTAAAAGAGGGAACAAATCTTTACAGCGAGGATCATTCCCACCCCCTTGGTACACAGGGTTGACAGGGATGGGCAATTTAGACATTGGCTACCCAAAAGGAGGGGGCTACAAAGGCACAAAGTGACTGGCTTACAAGCTTTCAAAAGGAAGCCTAGTTCCAGAGGGTGCGGGGGAAGGTAGAATCTCCACTGAGTGGTTTCCAACTGTCTGGATGGGACTGGTGAAAGGAGATGGGGATAAGACTTGTGTGGTTCAATAGTGAATAATTGCTATCAGGACTGACTGTTAGAGTTGCAAATGTAAAGGTAGACATTTTGTAACAAAAAGAGGGGAGTGGTTGATTTTGCAGTCCAGGAGCGGAGGACCCTAGGACCATCAAGGGAGAAGAGTGGAGTGCGGGACCCTATCCAGAGAAGCAGTGACACCAGAGATGGAGGCAGAGACAATGCCATGGAGAGATGGAGCAACTGGGGACTCTAGACTCAAGGAGGGAGAGGGGCTGTGTGCTGATGGCTGGGGGTCAGGCTTGCAGGGTGTACCCTTTGATTGTTTGATGATGCATGGAGGGGATTGTAATCATTGCAATGAAATGAAATATAATAGGATGGATGTAAAGCTGATGTTCTTCCATGTAAATAAAAACTTAAAAAAAAAAAAAATACCCCAACAATGAGATATCTCACACCAGCAATAATAGCGAAATTGAAAAAAGCAGAGGACAATAAATGTTGGCGAGAATGTGGAGAGACTGGGACCCTCCTACATCACTGGTGGGAATGCAAAATGGTACAGCCATTCTGGAAATATGGCATTTCCTCAGAAAGTTGGAAATAGAAATACCTTATGAGCCAGCAATTCCTCTACTTGGTATAGATCCAGAAGAAATACGAGCCATAACATGAGTAGATATTGCACACCAATGTTCATAGCAGCACTATTTACAATAGCAAAAAGATGGAGACAGCCTAAGTGCCCATCAATGGAAGAATGGATAAACAAACTTTGGTACATGCACACAATAGAATATTATGCAACCTTGAAGAATAACAAGGAAGCTGCAAGCTACCACATAACATGGATGAACCTTGAGGACATTATGCTGAGCCAAATTAGTCAGTCACAAAAGGGAAAATATTACAAAAGACCATTATTGTAAAAACTTAAGAAAAGATACCCATACTAAAAGGGGGGGGGGTAATTCTTTGTTCATTACCAGTGGGGTTGAGGTGGGGGTCGTAGAGCACAGGGTAGAGGGTAGACACATCATAGTCCAGGTGTTGGGAGGGCAATACACAAGAGCGGGGGGTGGGGGTGGAAGAACAAAGTAGATAGGGGAACACTGAGATAGGTTTGCATGGGCTAAATGGAACAGAGGTGAATAGTGATGTTTGCTCAACCTTGGAACAACAGGGCTCTGTGATACAGTGATAAAAAAGAAGAAGAAGAAGAAGAAAAGACAATGAGATGTTTCCACAAACTTTCTGAAGTCCCCTAGTACATATTTCTCTCCACCCCATCCATTTGTGTGAACCTTTTGTGTTCCTCAGTCTGCATCTTATCTCCTAACTTTGTCTTGTTCCCCTCCCCCACCGTGATGGTGTTTGTTTTGTTTTTCACGTTTTCTCTTGGAACAATCACAGCAACTTATCTCTCCCTCCTGGACAGACAAGGAGCCCCCCGAGCTCTCTCCATGGCACAGTTGATACTCCCACCCTTTTCCACCTTCCCTTCCAGGTATGTCTTCACTGTCATTTATACTTTTGAAGCCTTCATAAAGATATTGGCAAGAGGATTTTGTCTAAATGAGTTCACTTACCTGAGAGATCTTTGGAATTGGTTGGACTTTGGTGTTATTACCCTGGCGTGAGTATTTCTCCATGTTAATTTGTGGGGTTTCTAGGTGTATCCATGCTCACATGCTAAGGTTGTGTCCTCATCTCAGTCCAGTTTCCACATTCACAACAACATGATTTGGAATTTTCCTACCACTGAGTGTTGTTTTGGGGGTCACTTTACAGGTTATGTACACACCCACAAGGAAAAGTCAGAAACCTCTAGTCTGACCTTATGACTGACCTCTCAGAGTGGATCAGACAAGATACAGCCTTGTACTTACCCCACACACAGGTCTTTTCCTGAAGAACCAACAGTTGAGGAAACTAGCTGTTCAAGTCTGCATGTTTGGATATATATCCATACATACCTCACAGAGAAACCTATATTCTAATGTATCTTCTCTACAGACCTCCAGACCCTAGATTCTAATGCATCTTCTCTACAGACCCACAGACCCTAGATTCTAATGCATATTCTCTACAAACCCACAGAGCCTAGATTCAAATGCATCTTCTCTACAGACCAACATTTGAGGAGAGCAGCTGGCCAAGCCTGCCTGATTGGATATATATACATCCATACCACACAGAGAAACCTAGATTCTAATGCATCTTCTCTACAGACCCACTCAGTCAGTGTTAGGGAATCTATAGGTTCTAGAACCTCTAGATTCTCAGTTTCTGTTCTGGGTTCTTCCTAGGCTTGTGTTAGCCCAAATTGTCCTTATTTATGGTGCATCCACTCCCAGGACCCTCTCCTTGCAGAGATGCTGACTGACTTCTGGCCCTACAGATACATTGGTGAAGCAATAGACTTACGAGGAATCTCAGGACTGCGGACATTCAGAGTTCTTAGAGCTTTAAAAACAGTTTCTGTGATCCCAGGTGAGAGACTACCCATACATCTATTCATAGAGTACATGTTGATTTACAAAGCCTAATGTTCTTTGATTTTCACAAGAGTCCTGCAAGATTCCTGAGCAAGGACTCTTGTCTCCATTTAAAAGAGAAAGAAACTGAGGCCCAGAGAGTAGAAAACACAAGCCCATAGTAATAGATAAAGTGAGACCTGGAAGCCCAAGGTCATGAGTTCTAGGCCACTGCTCAGACTACAAGGCCACGTGGCCTCACATGGCAAGAAGGCCATGTGTCCATGTTTTGTTCTTATTGAGGAACTGAGGCAGGATGCCCTGTAGATTCTCATTCATACCTCAAACTAAAGACTTAACCTTGGAAATAGGGAAGAGAGGAGGTCTGTCAATATCTTTTTCAATTCGATAAATCTGAAAACTTGAGCCTCATTCCCGGTTTTAGATCCTCAGAGGTAAAAATAATTACACAATTCTTGATTGCAGAGGATTTAAAAACTGGGATCATCTTACTGTAATCCAAGAATCCTGTTCTTGTCAGTAGCCCAGTGACCAATCCTGAACCCCCTACTGGATTGATAGCAGGGGTGGTGAAGTCAGGGACAAGACAAAATCTCTGAAATAAGCCCTAATGCTTCCTTGTTATGTCCTAATAGGTTTATCCCCCTCACTCCTGAGAGTCACTGGGCCAGCTTCTTCATGAAGGGAGTTGCCACAAATAAATAGTCAGTTCTGCCCCTTGGTGTCTCTGTCACATGCTCTTAGCTAGGAAGACCCTGAGGGGTCTGTCCAGATCCCCTGTCCTGACTCATCTCTCACATCTTCCACCTCACATTACGCTGCAGCGTCTATCTGTGATTCCACAAGTGCTCTGTTTCCTTGCTCAAGCTATCGTCCTGGGCCATGCTGCTCCTCTATCAGAAGTAGCCTTTCTTTTCTCTTTACTCAACTCACGTTCATGCTCCAGGGTTCTGCCAGCACTTTACCTACTCAATGAAACTCCTCAACCTTTTCCAAATTCCCCACATTCCACCTGACCCCATCCCCACCCCAAGTCAGTGTTAGAGGCTGCTTCTATGTATGCCCATATGCTGGATAAATGCTTTCCCCTCCTTTGTCAGACAACCCCACCATCCACTCAGCCCCCAAACCAGGAACATATAGTGCTCAAAGGATGTTTGTTGACCAAACTCACAACCCAAGAGCAGATCCCAAACCACTTCACTGACAGAAATTTTTGCTGCCCATAGAACTACTCTCCAATAGGTGATTTCATTTGTCACAGCAACAAAGCACCTTTCCTTAACCATAGAGGGACTCTATCTTTGCTGCCAGCTGTGCTTGGCTCTGAAATAGTTCTTTCAAATATTCGCTCTGCTTTTCCCTTTCTCATTCTCTCAGCATCTCTCAAGCTTTCTAGGCAAGCTTCTTCATGAAGGGAGACACCACAAATAAGTAGTCCGGTCTGTGCCTCAGTGTCTCTCTCACACACTCTGATCTAGGAAAACCCTGAGGTGTCTGTCCCTATTGTTATTTCATCTGTCTGTAAATCTATCTCCCTGTTTCTCTTTATTTCTCTATTTCTGTCTCATTGTGTCTCTCTTGCAGCTTTCAGTCTCTCTCTTCACACATACAATATACATACAAGAATGTTTATATGTCTCGAGCCTTGAGCTATCTCCCAGAACTGAGGTGGGTGCAGAAAAATAGCTGCCAAATGATTGAAGTTTGTAATCTCATGCCTAGTGTGGTGCCTGGCACACAGTAGGTAACGAATTACTAGTCACAGCAATTTGTTAGGTTTAAGGTGATATTAAGATGTGTTACCTAAGTCTTGGTTGTTTCATCTTGGTAATGGGGACAATAGTCTTTGTCTACAATGGGGACAATAGTTCCAAAGCATCATTGCAAGGTTCAGATGAGGAGCTGAGTTTGGAACTACACTAAAGTTGGTAAAACACCTCACCTTTGTGTAGTGTTGGGAAGTGGTAGTTAAGATGCAAAGGCACCAGACACATGTATGTATTATATGCATGACGCTCGTCCATGTGGGAGCACAACTGTCATCTACCTGCAGGGCTGAAAGTCATCGTGGGGACACTGATACACTCGTTGAAGAAACTAACTGATGTGACCATCCTCACCGTCTTTTGCCTGAGTGTATTTGCTCTGGTGGGCCTGCAGCTCTTTAAGGGTAACCTCAAGAATAAATGTGTGAAGAATTGCACGCTGCTTTATGAGACGGCCAATAATTCTCATGGGAACCATGAGTGGAATTTCTGCCATAAGGGTGGAGGTATGGATGACACGGGGTGTGAAGGCCCCGCATGTTTACCCTGGATATATCATTTAATTCCTCTTTCCTGCTGACATGTTTCTCCTGAGTTGTATTTTACTTTCGAGTTCTGCACGTCCTGTTGTCCAGTGCCCCTTTTGCAAGGAAATGAGCTATAAATTCAGAGACAAGTAATTCTGCCCCTGCTAGGGAAGGCTTGGAATTGGAGCCACTGCTCGGATTTTCTCTTCTCATATCTGACTTTGCACCTTCTATGTGACCCAGCATGCCCTTGTGACACATGTCCAAGGGAGCGCAACTTATTCAGGCAGGAAACAGGAAGTGTTGCCTTTGTGACTCAAAGCTTCAGCTATGGGGTTCACAGCCATCTATATATCTTTCATTTCTTCCTTTCTTTTGCAGATTTCCAAATCAATAAGCCAGGAACCACTGATCCCTTGCTGTGTGGCAATGGAAGTGATGCCGGGTGCGTGTCTAACCCAAAACAAAAAACACCAGTGCCCCCAAGTCCTTTGTCCATCTTGTCTTCAGTGTTTTCTGGACACGAAGTGGGCTCCAGGCCCTGAGGAAGATGCAGAAATGAAGAAATCATAGCCTTTGCTCTTCTGGAGCTCATAGAGAGGGAGTGTATGAATTAGCTTTTGCTGTGTGACAAACCATGCCAAAACTGAATGACCTAAAACAGAAGCTATACATTTAACTTATAATTTTGCCCGTCAGTATCTTGTACTGGGCTGACTTTTTTCACTTTCAGACTGATGCAGACTGGCTGGGAAATGACTGGCCAAGAATGGTCTCAGTTGGGATAAGTTGTCTTTGTTCCACATAGTTGCTCATGCCACAGCACGCTAGCCTCGGCTTGTTCTCATTGCAGAAGCAGGGGTCCAGGAGGGAGAAAGGAAGCATGCAAGGCCTGTGGAGACTTAGGCTTAGAACTAGCACAATATCACTTCTAGTGCCTTCTATTGACCAAAGCAAATCATAAGCCAGTCCAGCTCCAACAGATTGGGAACTGGACTCCACATCTTTATGGAAGAAACTACAAAGTTATATTCCTTAAAGGCATAGCTACATGAAGGGGAATAATTGTAGACATTGTTGAAAACACTCAACCCCAAGAAGGGACTAATACTTCATTTGGTGGGGGCAGACACTGCTTGGCCCAGGCTTTGATTGTCATGTGGAAATGTCGGTCTACTGCTTCCAGCTCTTCAAACTTTTAAAAGAAAAGCAAGAAGACTGGATTTTTTTTCATGAAACCTCTGAGCTACAAGCATTAACTTTCAATTCCAAAAAATGTCTCCATATTATGGGTCATACAAAATATTTATGCAGACTAAAGTCAGCCTTCAGCATGCCAGTTTATAAGCTCTGAAGTGCACACATAAAGATGCTGCACTGTGGAAAATAAATGCTCAGTAGACTGAGGAGACAGAGAGAGGTGATGAAGGCAGGTGAGGAGGCCAGGGAAGGCTCCTGGCGGCAAAGTTCGAGGTGATCAGTTAAGAGCAGGCAATATGTCTCCTCACTGGATAAAAGAGAGGTAGTTAGGATGGAGGCCATTCCAGGTGGCAAAGCAGATTATGAGACAAAGCAAGGGGTGGATGGCCCCTTGGTTCTACTGGCTTCTTTGTGAAACATGAGCAGAAAGACTTCAGGCAACAGGTTAGAAAGGTCCATTTCTCCTAACTCTTTGGCTGCGGGCCTTGGAGATCAAGGCTCACACTGATCCCAGTCTCAGAATAGCTGAAAGGCCCATATAGCCCAAGTGGAGCCAGATGTGACCGGAAAGAATCCCTACTTTAATCAGCCACTAGAAAAACATCTCAGAGAGAACCAAGGGTTGGGAGCAAACAGGACAGTTTGGTCAACATCAGGATCCTCGGCCTCTTTCCTCATAAATGTACTTGGTATATTTAGTTCTTAGACTCAGAGAAAGAGTTGTTCTTATGTACACTTTCATTTGACTGATACTTAAATTGAGGGACCCTCAATGTCTCTTTCTGTCTAGAGATAGCATTTCTTCAGAGGAGCCCAAACACTATTTATGGCAAAGTTGTGGGACCACCTATGGACCTGTCTCTCAGTTCCAAAAGAGGTCAGGTATTCTATTGGAGGAGTGGGTAGAGTTGGTATAGAAGAAAGTTGCCAATCTAAGACAAAAGGACATGCTGTGAACACCAAACCCCAATTCTGTGTTGGACCATGGAGAAATCAGACCCTTGGACAAAGTCCCACACAGACTAGTGGCGCTGTAGGAGAAAAGATCTGGGGTTTCATGGTGAACAGTAGGTACCAGGAAACACTTGACAATGTTTAGCATCCTTTCCATATGATATTTACTAGGCTGAAATGTTGCTGATGCACTAAGCAGTTGGCGCTTGATGAATAGTGACCACAGTGTAGTTGTATGGAAGACATAGAAATAAGGCAGCTGTCTGAGTTAACTAACAAACCCATAGGTAATGGCTTGACTAGCTGCCAGGAAGAACAAATTAAAGCATATTGCTAAATGCTAATTATAGAGTCTGGGAACTCCCAAATCTCCATTAAAGTTGGAATTACAATTGGGATTGATTATAATTAAACTACCATAACTCTAATCTATTATATGAGTCCTGAGGCTGGATATTCACATATGTGTCTGGAATAAGGAGAGCTCCAGAGACCAGTGTTGCCGGAAGGATCCTCGTTGTTGTTGTTGTTAAGTGCCGTCGAGTCGGATTCCGACCCATAGCGACCCTGAACAGGGTTTTCGAGGCTGTAAATCTTTACGGGAGCAGAAAGCCTCATCTTTCTCCCGCAGAGCAGCTGGTAGTTTCGAACTGCTGACCTTGTGGTTCGCAACCCGATTCGTAACCACTATGCTACCAGAGCTCCTTGGAGGGATCCTAGAAGCAGAAAAATCTCAAACTACAAACAAGACATTACTATTTCCTTAACCAGGTCATTCCCACTGGGCTGTACAGGAGCACCTTGAATGCTTTGAGTTGAGAGGTTGTTCTTAATATCAACTCATCTCCTTACTATGCGAAAGAGAAAGGAGCCTGACACCTTGCACCCCAGTATTCCTTGTTGTTGTTGTTGTTATGTGCCTTCGAGTCGGTTCCGACTCATAGCGACCCTGTACAGGGTTTCCAAGGCTGTAAATCTTTATGGGAGCAGAAAGCCTCATCTTTCTCCCACAGAACAGCTGGTAGTTTCGAACTGCTGACCTTGTGGTTTGCAGCCTGATTCATAACCACTACACTACCAGAGCTCCTTAGATGTTATTATAGTTGTTAGGTGCCATGGAGTTGGTTGCAACTCATAGCAACCTTGTATGGGGTTTACTTCTGAGGTACAGCTACTAGGTTTGAATTGCCGATCTCGTGGTTGGCATTTCAGTGCTGATCCTACAGTATTGCCTAGATGTTGTTGTTGTTAAATTCTGTGGAGTCTGACCCATAGCAAACCCAAACCCTATATAGGGTTTCCAAGGAGCTGGTGAGCTTGAACTGCCAACCTTGAGGTTCAAACCAACTTTGCAGTCCAGTGTATTAACCCAGCACCACACCAGAACTTCTTAATTTGTTGTTGTTGTTGTTGTTGTTAAGTATCATTAAATCAATTCCGAACCATAGCAACCTTGTATAGGGTTTCTGAGGAGCAGTTGGTGGGTTTGAACCACCTACCTTGCAGTTCAAACTGACCTTGCAGTTGACTGTGCATTATCATTCAGTGCCACACCAGGACTCCAGGACTCCTTGTAAGCCCTATACCTGTACCGCAAGGTGGATTTGAACCACAAGGTGGCGGTTCAAACCCACCAGCCACTCCCTGGAAATCCTATACAAGGTCACTAAAGTCTCAACTGACTCAGTGGCACTTAACAACAACAATCATCAGCATGTCTTCAGGAGGAGGCTGGGATGGCTTCAATACTGGGCTAAATGTTTCTTAATGTGTGATTTAAGCAAGTGACTTGTCTCTGAAACCCAGCTTCCTCATCTATAAAGAAGGATTACTGAGAGGATTAAGTTATAGCATTTGTAAGACCTTCAGTAGAGCACACAGCACAAAGTAAGTACTGCTAAGTGGACCGCGTCATTTTCACTGTTATATGTAATTGAACAGTAAATCTGGCTCACAAGAGTTCTCCATTGAGGGACAAATCTCTAAGCGTAGGTTTTCCAACTGCATCATTGTCATTAACTCTCCCTTCTCTGTTGTGAACTTGCAAAGCACTTACCATCTAATGGGGTTATGTTATTAGCTAGCCTTTCCCAAGCCATTCCCCTATACATGGACCTGTATCCAGAACTATGAAATCAATTATCCTCTCTATTTTATGGATGAAAGAAACTAGTGTCCAATATCATATAAGAGGAAAACCAGGTCTTGAACTCAGATCACTGACTTCAAACCCTGTGGTCTTCCTGCAGCCCTGGGCTGCCTTGTCCCAAATATGCAACAATGACTTCCTTCCTTCTGGCTAAAGCCACTGTCCTACAGGTTATTTCTGCCTTAAAACAGCTGAAAACCCAGATTTCAACTACACCAGCTTTGATTCCTTTGTTTGGGCTTTCCTCTCACTGTTCCGCCTCATGACACAGGATTCCTGGGAACGCCTCTACCAGCAGGTACTGAGCTCCATGTCATCACATAGACTTGGTTGAAACCTCATGGGTCAGCTGCATGACTGTGTTTTTCCTATAAAAGCTTGACTTAACTTGAAGGGCTTGTTTGTTGTGGGTCTAACATATCTCTCTTCTTTTTCTTGGATCTACAGACCCTGAGAGCATCAGGGAAAATCTATATGATCTTTTTTGTGCTTGTCATCTTCCTGGGGTCTTTCTATCTGGTCAACCTAATCTTAGCTGTGGTCACCATGGCATATGAAGAACAGAGACAGGCTACCCTTGATGAAATTGAAGCAAAGGAAAAGAAGTTCCAGGAGACCCTTGAGATGCTTCAGAAAGAACAGGAGGTTTGTGAGGGACTGTAGTTTTGTGAAGTTAGTCACAAGCTGTATATTCCTGGGAAGAGGTCTGGATCATCATTTACATCAAGGTTTTCACTGTAGGCAGAATTCAGCTAACCTCAGGCATTGACTTAGATCAGATTTTCTCAAAGAAGAATTTGATTGAGGATTCGTATGCAAGTGATTCATTGAGGGATAACTCTCAGGAGAAGAGTGAAGGAGACAGAATGGACAGGGGATAAAACTAAACAAACCTCTTCATCTGGAGAAAGCCTTAGCCTGTCCCCACAGTGAGCTCTGGGACATGACTGGGACCTCATTATAACTCCTATCTTGAGACAAAGATCTGTTCTTTTATACCCCTATGTCAGTTAGCCATCGAGTCCTGGTATAGCGCTGTGGCTTAAAACGCCAGACCGCAAAGCCGTTTAAACTACAAGGTCGGTGCTTCAAGCTCACCAACTGCTCCTCGGAAAACCTATACAGAGTTGCTGTGTGTGAGAACCAACTTACAGCACTTAACAACAACATCAGTTAGCCATTGAATACAGGCTGCCCACCAAGGGATGATAGCCAAATAAATGTTTCAAAAGAACACAGCAGCTATGAACCATTAGTAAGTAGCTAACAGAATAGCTGGAGCTAGGTGTGTGCTGATCTAGTAAGGGGAATCTGGGCAGAGCACCAACAGAGTCTAGTACAGGATCAGAAAGTAGACTATGGCCCACTGGTGGGTCCTGCCATGTCACAGTCCCACCACCACTCAGGTCCTGATCCTTAACCTCCTAGTTCAGATTCCCTCACTCTATGTTCACTCTTGTCTTGGGACATATTTATGCTAAGGTCATCAAGATACTAGAGCTTCTATTCTCTCTCTTCAGGTACTGACAGCACTGGGGATAGACACAGGCTCGCCTCACTGCCACAATGAATCGCCTTTAACTTCCAAGCATGTCAGTGAGAAAAGGCACAGGACAAAGCCGAGAGTGTCAGAGGGCTCAACGGACGACAGCAAATCACCCCCACCTGAGCCCTATAACCAGCGCCGGATGGTAAGGGGCTTCTATTTGTGCTCTAAATAGAACCCTCACTTTTCAGCTGCCATGGAGAATCGGTTGAAGTGGGAGGATATTTGCAGTAGGGAGAAAGCTGGAGGCACAAAAATGGGGAGGAAGTTTTAGTCATTCGGACTCTCCCTCCAAAATCATGACCTGAATGAACTAAGACCAGGTCATTGTGGATAGCAAAACAGGTCGATTATAAAGAATTTACTGGGTGAAAATCATGAGGACCAGGATTATGGGATGTTTTTTAAAGGAGAGAGGAGTCCAATATGACTTCCAGACTGGGCAACTACCTGGGTGATGATGTCAACACAGGAGTCCTGGAGGAGGAACCATGTTAGCAGGGAGAGTGGTGACCTGGATATTGGCATGCTGACATTGAGGTATATATGGATAGATATATGGATAGATAAGGAGGTGCTTTCTGTCAAATACAAATGAAGGGCCACCTTCCTCTGATACTCTATCTGCTATTCTGGAGCTGGGTGATGTGCTGAAGTCTTTTACAATCTTCTTTCTGACCTCACACCTTAGGCTCTGCAGCCAGAGTCTCACTTACTAGAACAGAAGATTCCATAAAGTATCTGTGTGATACAGCCCTGTCTTACAAATGGCTTCAGAACATCACCTCAGCTCCACATTATAACCTTCTGGTGCCCACTCCAAGATTCCTGTTTGTACCACGTTCCCTGCCTCCACTTTCCAAAGTCCTATGTACCCTAAATGTCACCTTCCCACATGACTGGAAGAGAGGAAACTTCTGTGGATGGTCAGTCCCCACACTGATAAATAGGGGAGCAACATGGCAATTACTTGGGTTTCCTGCTTCTCACTTCCCTCTCCCCCTCTTTTCCTGTGCTCACCTGAAGGAATTCCATCTCTCCAACCCCAAATTGACCTGCATAAACAGACACACACACACACTGGCTTCAGTGATATACCCACATGGCAGCATTTATCTGTGCCCTTCTCTTTGTTATGCTGACTCTTTTGAGCCTCACCTGGCATGCACAGGGCACAGTTCAGAAGATGTTTCAAAGAGGAATTGACTAGGGCTCTGACAATCATACAGCAGAATGAATCACAGCTTCTATGGAAATGTCACTGACCCTCTGAATTGGGATCGAATTTTCCCGATTCAGTCAGTCCTACACAGAGTAGCACCTTGGTGTTCAATTATTGTTTGGTATATATGTCTGCTTGTCTCTCCAACTAGGCCTACCTTCACAGGGAAAAAAGGAACTGTGTCATATTCATTCAAAAACACTAGATGCTTATATAGATGACTAAAACATGGTCCCTTTCCTCAGGGACCTCCGTCTGGGTGGAAATAGCAGATATATAAACAGCTCTGTGATAAATACTATAATAAAGGCACATACTTGTTGCTTCATGCCTAGAGAAGGAAACTTTCACTCCTCTTGGAGAGGTGCATATCAGGAAAGGCTTCACAGAGGAAGCGATAATTCAAGTGAATAGCAAAGAGTGAGTAGGGATTCCTCCAAAGATTGAGTCCTGGAAGGATTTAGGAAGGAGTATATTTCAGGTGTGGTGCTGTAGGATCAGCTCTGGACTGTGAACCAGAAGATCAGCAGTTCAAACCTACCAGCTGCTCTTCGTAAACCCTATACAGAGTCACTGTGAGTCAAATTCTTGACGACACTTAGCAACAACAACATATTTGAGTTAGAGGGAAAACATGTATGTGCAAAAGCAAGGAGAAAATGGGTACTTCTTGAATGCTAACTGATTGATTGGAATCCACTCAAGAAAGCCATCCTTTCTTCATTCCCCAAGTGTGTTCATGTGGTGAATATACCTTAGGAAGTTTTTATATAAAGCCATCTTCTGACTAAGAGGAACAAGACAGGATTTAGAGAAAGGATCTGGGAAAGATACAACACAGGTTGCTGAAAACACATAGGAGACTAGTTGGCCTTCTTGGATGATGTCTTTTCAGGATCTAATTCATAGATCTGGAAGTCACTGTCCACCACTTGTCAATATTAATATTCATATTAATAATAATGTTAGTATATTGATAGATAAGGAGGTGCTTTCTGTCAAATACAAACCAACATTTTCTTCCCAGTTTCTTTTGTTTGCTTGGTACCCAAGTGCAAATAACTCAATATTTCCACCTTTAATATTGTTGTTGTTAAGTGCCATCGAATTATTTCCAACTTATAGAGACCCTGTATAGAGTTTCCAAGGAACAGCTGGTGAATTTGAACTGCCAACCCTGCGGTTCAAACCGACCTCACAGTCCAGTGCTTATTCTACAGCACCACACCAGGACTCCTCATAAGGACCCTTTAAAAGGTTTCCAAGAAGCAGCTGGTGGGCTTGAACTACTGACCTTGTGGTTCGCAGTCCGGTACTGATCCTACAGAGCCACACTAGGAGTCTGCAATCTTTAATATAATTTTGCCTATTCTAAGTCTTCAAAAGTGGGAAGGATTCATGATTTTTTTTCTGAGTTTCATAGTTCTTAGACATATACTGTGTAATACTGAGTTTCCAATGATGGTCGTTAAACAAGTTGTTGCTGTTATGTGCCCTGGAGTCAATTCCAACCCATAACAACCCTGTATGTGGTTTCTAAGGAGCATCTGGTGAGCTTGAACCACCGACCTTACAGTTCAAACGACATCAGAGTCTGACTGACGCATTGCCCCACAGCACCACACCAGGACTCTTGTTAAACAGGACTGGGCTACAAATTATCAAAGAATGACATTCCACTTCTGTGAGGTAACAGGATAAGTAATGAGAACTCTAAATAGCAAGATGCCTCAACGTAAGTACCTTAGTGAATAATGGAATTAAGGAAGGAGAAAAACTCCGGCAGTATGAGCAGAGTTTGGTAGTGAGTCAACGTTTAGATTTTAGAAACACAATGGAAATCATCAAACAGTATCATTAATGTTATATGCAAATAAAAATTTGCGAAGATAATTTTTAAATGGCTGCAACAGTACATCAACAGAGAACTGCCAGATACGCAAGCCAGATTCAGACAAGGATGTGGGAAGAGGAATAGCATTGCTGCACTCAGATAGATCTTGGCTGAAAACAGAATAATAGAGAGATATTTACTTGTGCTTTATTGATGGCATGGATCATGACAAACCATGGATAATATTGTGAAGAATGGGTATTCCAGAACATTTAATTGTGCTCACGAGGAACCTGTACATAAACCAAGAGACAGTTGTTCAAACAGAACAAAGGGATAGTGAATAGTTTAAAATTAGGAAAGGTGTGTACCAGAGTTGTATTCTTTCACCATACTTATTCAATCTGTATGCTGAGCTAATAATCTGAGAAGCTGGATTATATGAAGAAAAATGTGAAATGAGGACTTGCGGAAGACTCATTAACAACCTGCTATATGTAGATGATACAATCTTGATTGCTAAAAGTGAAGAAAACTTAAAATACTTACTAATGAAAGTGATAGGAGACCTGGTATGGCGCTGTGGGTTAATGCACTGGAATGCAAAGTTGGTTTGAACTGCAAGGTCGGCAGTTCAATCTCACCAGCTGCTCCTCAGAAACACTATGCAGGGTTGCTATGGATTGGAACCCACTCAATGACACTCAATGACAGCAACAATAACAACAAGATAAAATATTAGTCTTCAGTATGGGTTGCAACTCAATGAAAGAAAACAAAATCCTTACAACTAGACCAGTAAATAACATCATGTTAAATGAAGTAGAAAGGGAAGTTGTCAAAGACTTCATTTTGTTTGGATCCACTATCAACACTCAGGAAAGCAGCAGTCAGGAAATCAAAAGACATACTGCATTAGGCAAATCTCCTGCACAAGATCTCTTTAAAGTGTTCAAGAGCAAAGATATCAATTTGAGGACTAAGGTGCACGTGACTGACCTGAAGTATGGTATTTTCAGTAGCCTCATTTGCATGTGAAAGTTGGGACAATGAGTAAAGAAGACCATAGAAGAATAATGCATTTGAGTTGTGGTGTTGGAGAATATTGAAGGTACCTTGGGCTTCCAGAAGAACAAACAGGTCTGTGTTGGACAAAGTACAGCTGGAGTGTTCATTAGAAGTCAGGATGGTGAAACTTTGTGTCTGATACTTAGGACATGTTATCAGAGGGACCAGTCCCTGGATAAGGACTTCATGCTTGATAAAGTGGAGGGTCCGCAAAAAAGAGGAAGATCCCCAACGAGATGGATTAGCACAGTGGCAGCAGCAATAGGCTCAAGCGTACAACAGCTGTTACTGCGGACCCTGCCGTATATCATTCTGTTGTGCATAGGGTCTCTCTGAGGTGGAACTGACTTGATGGTACAGCAACAACATGTGAGGGGCTTCAAAGGTTCATGGAAATTTTCCATTCTCTTTTAATTCAATTTTTCCATGAACTTTATGAAGAGCTCTCATGTATAACCTGAGAACAAAATTAATGGCTTATTATGGTCCGTTCCAACAGTGGCCTTGGGAACTTGTCGAGGTCCTATGTTGGGTTCCAGCCTCAACAAGGAAGTGTGGGTGTCACGAAGAAGGGAGATCTGGCAGCGAAAGTAATAGAGAAAGAGAGAGACGAAATATATACAAAAAAGACAGACACACAGATATGATGCAAGCTGGCAGGTAGACAGATCTGCAAACATTTTGCCTAGAATTGCCGAGCATGGCACAGCATTGCATGCAGAATTCACTCTACCTCAGCCTTTTATTCACTTTTTTAGGGAGGGATTTGTTACAAAGGAAGGATGTAATTCACAAAGGGAGGATGTGATTAAGACAGGATACGGAACTGAAATGTGATTAATCATTCAAAACAGGACATAATGATTCACAGGAACAACTTTTAAGATATTTTCATAGTTTTTTCTTAACAATTTAACATTTTTATTTTTATAGGAAAAAGGTTCAATTAAGCTGTTATATATTAATTTTTAGGCTTAAATGATCTAGAGCAGTGACGTGCGGTTTCTTAAGGATACTTAACATAAAGCAAGGTTCCTGAAAGGAGCCAAGCTGTCTCTGTATACTTTGCAAACTTTTGTTTGTGAGCAAGATCTCAGGCACTGGGCTTCATTTATCTATACCTAAAATGCTACATTGCTCTTAATTATCACATTCCTATATACTTTCAGGAGGGAGAGCATCTGGGTTAAACTGATTATATTTAGAGGTGGTTTAATGGGGCTGCCACTGATCAACCCAGGGTCTGCATATACTGTCCCCAGCAGGAACTAGCCATGCTGGCACACTAACATTTTGGAGGCTCCTAGACCTGCTGGCACACTAACATTTTGGAGGCTCCTAGACCCATGAATTATCTCCTTTCCTCTCCCAACTATGAGCCCCACAATCCCCTCAGTGGACGATTTTGATGGGAAATGTTATTGCTTTGAAGGAAAGGCATTGTTCTTCCAGGAAATTAGACTGTATCTCTTCCTTCAATCTCCTCATCGTTACTGTTCAAAGCTTGCCTGAAGGGATTCTGAAAGCTCATTATATTATAAAGCACTTGTCTCTTTGCAACACAAACTCTTAACACCCATACAAGCTCATTCTAATGAATTGTAGAACCTAATTTTCAGACAATAAATTGCACTGCTCTTTGATTTAGCAACCATTTACCTACCATATCCCAATATAATAGAGCCTCTTTAAGTCATAATTTTGCATGTGAGGAAAGAAACTTAAGAGAGAGCTTTATCTTGTCCTGTGGCCAAAAGCTGGCAAGTAACTGACACATCTGAACAACAAGGTTTGTCCTCTGACACGTCCTTGGCTATGATGAACTAGTCACTGATCTTAAGCACCTCATCATACTCTTTCATCTCTCCTGACCTCAACAGAATCTGCCTAGAATACTCTTTTCACCAGTTTCCCCCCCTTTTGTCCCCAACCCCCATTCCACTCAACCCCACCCCTAACACAATCATGTCTACCAAGAGTACTTTTTTGGGCTGTTTATTGAGTTCCTGGAAGGCAATGAAAATAAGTGCAGGGAAATGGGAATGAGTGAAGGAAAGTGTTGAGCTCCAGGCTTGCTTATGGTACCAGTTCTCAGCCTACCTTTCTTCTGTCCCTCTCCTTTGGGGCAATGACCAGTCTTTCCTAGGCCTCGCCTCTGGGAGACGCCGGGCTAGCCATGGAAGTGTATTTCATTTCCGGACTTCTAGTCGAGACTTCTCATTCCCTGATGGGGTCATAGATGATGCAGTGTTTCCTGGAGACCGTGAAAACCATCGGAGCTCTGTACTGCTGGGCGGAAGCATTGGCCAGCAAGGCCCCCTCCCGAGGAGCTTGCTGCCTGAGTCTTCCAACCCTGGATCCCAGCCTGGAGAAGATGGACATTCCATGCCGCCTTCCAGTGATCTTGCACCTGGAACCATGGAAGTCTCGGTGAGTTTGTGAATGCTCCAGACTCTCTGGGGCTGCCCTCCTAGAGGCCCATGATGTCACCAATAGAAGGATCTTCCTCTAGACATCAATCCTACCCCATTTTATACAGGAAGGTAAGACCCATAGAGAGATTGGATTTTCCTGGGATCTAACAGTTTTTCTAGTTTACTCAGTAATACAAGGAGCTCTGGTAGTGTAGTGGTTACAAATCGGGCTGTGAACCAGAAGGTCAGCAGTTCGAAACTACCAGCTGTTCCGCGGGAGAAAGATGAGGCTTTCTGCTCCCGTAAAGATTTACAGCCTCGGAAACCCTGTACAGGGTCGCTATGAGTTGGAACCAACTCCACGGCACATAACAACAACAACAACTCAGTAATACAGTGAACAGGCTTTTTATTTGGCCTCATCTTTCTTCACAGTGTTTCCCTGTACCCACTCACTGTCACTGTTTTAGAGTCAGGCCTACTTGCTCTCTGGATAAGTATGAGAAAAACTGAGGGCTTGTGCCTCTGCATAACTACTCTAGGCTTTATAAATAGGACCCAGAGAAATTCTGAGAGGGGCACATTAACACACAAATTAGGCACCAGCAACAAACTGGCCAACAATCTAATCAGATTAATGGCAAGCCAGGAACTCCTCAGTGGACTGAGAGCTGTGATTTAGTTCTTCCCAGTTTCAGTAAGGATGTTTCTAGCTTTTTTTTTTTTTTTTTTTTTTTTACTCACTTTCCTTGGCTAGTCAGAAATACAGATGAGTGCTCCACGGACTCCGGTAAATCTTACTGAGTTGTCTTAGCTCAGTCTGATTGGATGCCATGTGATTCAGGGTCTCAAGAAGAAACAAGTGAACCATTCCAAAGGGCAACTGGAGAGAGTTTAAAGAAGTATTTACAGAAGTGCGGGCCACAATAGCCCTGGGTGGCACATGCCTTTAGGTGCTTGGGTGCTAACCAAAAGATTGGAGGTTTGAGTCTCCCAGAGGTGCCTCAGAAGAAGCGTGTGGCATTCTACTTTTCAAAAATCAGCCATTTAAACCCTATGGAGCCCTATGACATAGACATTAACTGTAATTAACTCAATTACAACTGGTTCTGTTTGGATTCTAGGGCTGGGTTAAGAGAACCTAGTAAAAGACAGGAACCTAATAATAAGAGAATAGCAACCATGCCTTGGAAATCCTATAGGGTCACATGAGTTGGAACCGACTCCATGGCACATAACCACCAACCACCAGCAGCAGCAACCATGCCAAGATATGACCTGACTAGACTGAAGGGGTGAGAGAAGACAGAATCATAACCTAATGAAGGTTGTAACTGCACAAGAGAGGCTGCCTGACAGAAGTTACTATCTTAGATACAGCTTCACATCCACTACCAGGGAATGGATACCTGAAATCTCTCTCCTTCCATCCTCTGATCTTCTGTCTGTGCCTTCCATTGTCTGAACCTGATCAAAGCCAGAGGAGAGGGTGATGCAGTTAATATAGATCACTCTCCTCAAACACAGAGCAGGGCAGAAAAAGTGGAGGGTGAGTCTCCAAGGGAGAATCACCAACACAGAGTTCTAAAGTCAAAGCCTCTAGAACATCTCAGTCAAGAAGCCTTGTGATGGACTCTACCCCCTCACTCATTTGATCTGAGATCATCTTCTCTTTCTCATAAGCAACTTAATTCTTTTAATTTAATTTTTTTTTTTGGCTAGTGCATTATTAACTCTTTAAGACTTTCACTGTCACATAGACCTGGATGTGCCATTTGCCAAACAAGTCACCCTTAGCAAGACCCTTAAATTCTCCATATCTTCTTCTATAAATGATTCCAGATAGCTGGAGGATGACAATAGAAAGCAGAGAAATTCTGAGAGGGGCACATTAACCACCTGGTGCCTAGTTTGTGCGTTAATGTGCCTCTTTCAGAATTTCTCTGGGTCCCATTTGTCATGATGTTTCACTGGACTGCAAGGTCTGTTTAAACCACAAGATCAGCAGTTCAAACTCACCAGCCACTCCTCGAAAACCCTAAACAGAGTTGCAATGAGATGAAACGGACTTGACAACACTTAAAGCAACAGCAAAAAATATAAATATATAATAATAAAGCAGTTACATTTCGATACATGTGCCCAATACAAATAATAAATACCAGCTGCTAGTATCATTGTTGTTGTTAAGTGCCGTCAAGTCGGTTCTGACCCATAGCGACCCTATATAGGGTTTCAAGGTGAACTTGAACTGCTGACCTTGTAATTCAAGTGGCTTTGCAGCCTGGCACATTAACCTATAGCACCACACCAGTACATATTGTCAGGAGGGACCAGTCACTAGAGAAGGATATCATGTTTGGTATGGTGAAAGAAAGGTCAGAGAAAAAGAGGAAGACACCCCCCCACCCCCAGCCAAATGGACTGGCAAAGTGGCAACATCAGTGGGCTCAAGCATGGCAACAATTGTGAGATTGGCCCAAGACCAGGCAGTATTTTGTTCTGTTGTGCATATGGTCACTATGAGTCAGTACCAACTCAATGGCAACTAACAACAACAACTAGTATCATTGATAATTACTAGTGATAGGAATATAAAAGTTGGAAACAAAGACAAAGGATTAGTAGTTGGAAAATATGGCTTTGGTGATAGAAATTATACTGCATATTGAATGATATAATTTTGCCAGACCAATGACGTATTCATTGCAAATACCTCTTTTCAACAACATAAATGGCAACTATACACATGGACCTCACAAAATGGAATACACAGGAATCAAATTGACTACAACTGTGGGAAGAGGTGATGAAGAAGCTCAATATCATCAGCTAAAACAGGATCAAGGACCAACTATAGAACATACCATCAATTGCTTATGAGTAAGTTCAGGCTGAATCTGTATAAAATTTAAACAAGTTCATAAGAGCCAAAATATTATCTTAAATATATCTCATCTAAATGTATTGACCACCTCAAGAACAGATTTGATGCATTAGACACGAAGGAGGAATACACCAGAAGAGTTGGGTGATAATATCAGGCACATTATTCATGAAGACAACAAAAAGTCATTAAAAAATCAGAGCTCAACCAGAAGAAAGAAGAGGGAAAAAAAAATAATAAAGTGAGCTGATACAATTTGATGAACTTGACCTACACCTATGGAGCAGCAACTCAAAAGAAGGAACAAATCCTTACAGCAAGAAACATTCCCACCCCCTCCACACATAGAGTAGACAGAGATGGGCAACATGGACATTGGATACCCAAATGGGGTGGGGGGACTACAAAGGCAAGAAGTGACTGGCTTACAAGCTTTCAAGAGGGAACCTAGAGCTAGGGGGCATGGAGGAAGGCAGAACCTCCAGTGAGTACTATCCAATCTGTCTAGGAGGAGCTGATGAAATGAAATACAGATGGGTAACTCGCGATACTGTAGTGAATAATTGTTATCAGGACTGATTATAAGGGTTGGAAATGCAAAGGTAGACGTTTTGTAACAAGGAAGGGAGTGATGAATTCTCCAGTCTAGGAGCAGAGGTCTCTAGGACCATCAACAGAGAAGAGCTGAGAGCAGGACCCTACCCAGAGAAGCAGAGATGCCTGAGATAGAGACAGAGACGATGACGTGGAGTGCTGAAGCAGCTGGGGACTTTGGATCCAGAGAGGGAGAGGGACTGTGGGCTGAAGACTGGGGGTGGGGGGAGAGTGTAGGGGGTGGGTTTGTAGGGTATACCCTTTGGTCGGTTGATGATGCATGGAGGGGATTGGAACCATGGCAATGAAATGATATACGATGGAATGAATGTAAAACTAAAGTTCTCTCATGTAAACTATCATATAATTCACAATAAAACATTTTTTAAAAAGTCATTAAAAAGAAAGAGAAGACCAAATTGGATGTTAGAAGACAAAGTAAAGTATTATAATGAAATGTGCAAAGATCTGGAGTTGGAAAACCAAAAGGGAAGAACATGCTCAAAATTTCTCAAGCTGAAATAACTGAGGAAGAAATTCAAGCCTCGACTTGTAATACCAAAGGATTCTTTGGGCAAAATACTGTATGATGCAGAAAGCATCAAAAGAAGATAGAAGAAATACACACATCATTGTACCAAAAAGAAATGGCTGATCTTCAACCATTTCAAGAGGTAGCATATGCTCTAGAGCCAATGACACTGAAGGAAGAAGTCCAAAGTATAATGAAGGCACTGGCAAAGAACAAGGATCCAGAAATCGATGGAAAACAAATTGAAATATTTCAAAAAACTAATGCAACACAGGAGACACTCACTCATATATTGCAAGAAGACAGCTGTCTGGCCAACTGATTGGAAGAGATCCATATTTGTGCCCATTCCAAAGAGTGGTGACTCAATGGAATGCAGAAATCATTAGACGATATCATTAATATTGCATGCAAGTAAAATTTTGCTCAATATAATTCAAAAACAGGACATTGACAGGGAACTGCTCGAGGTCCAAGCAGGAGTCACATGACAACATGGAATGAGAGATATCATTCATAATGTTAAATGGATCTTAGCTGAAGGCAGAAAATACCAGAAAGATGTTTATCTGTGTTTTATTAAGTACACAAAAGTTTTTGGTTGTTTGGATCATGACAAGCTATGGACAACATTGAAGACAATGAGTATTCCAGAACATTCAATTGTGCTCATGAGGAACCTATACATAGATCAAGAGGCAGATGTTGAATAGAACAAGGGTACACTGAATGGTTTAAAATCAGAAAAGGTATATACCAGGGTAGTATTCTTTCACCGTATTTATTCAACCTGTATGCTGAGAAAATTATTTGAGAAATTGTATCATGTGAAGAAGAACGTGGCATCGGGATTAGAGGAATAATTAGTAGCAATCTACAATATGTACATGATACAACTTTGCTTGCTGAAAGTGAAGAGGACTTAAAATATTTGCTGATGAATATTCAAGACCACAGCCTTCAGTATGGGTTGTACCTCAATGCAAAGAAAACAAAAATCCTCACCACTGGCCCAAAAAACAACACCCTCATAAATGGAGAAAAGATTGAAATTGTCAAAGACTTAATTTTGCTAGGATCCACCATCAACACTCATGGAAGCAACAGTCAAGAAATCAAACGATGTATTGCATTAGGCAAATCTGCTGCACAAGACCTCTTTAAAGTGTTCAAGAGCAAAGATGTCAGTTTGAAGACTAACATGCACCTGGCCCAAGTCATGGTATTTTAAATAGCCACATATACATGTGAAATTCAGACAGTGCAGAAGGAAGACCGCAGAATTGATGCATTTGAGTTATGGTGTTCAAGGAGAATATTAAAAGTACCATGGCCTGCTGAAAGAACAAACTAATCTGTGTTGAAATAGAGTCAGAATACTGCTTAGAAACAAAGATGTACAGACTTCATCTCTCATACTTTGGATCTATTATCAGGAGAGACTAGTCCCTGGATAATGATATCATGCTTGGTAAAGTGGAGGGTTGGATAAAAAGGGGAAGACCCCCAACAAGATGAATTGGCACAGTGTCAGAAGCAGTGGGCTCAAATGTAGCAACAACTGTGGGGTTTGCACAGGACCAGCGTTTCATTCTGTTGTGCATAAAGTTGCTATGAGTTGGTACCAATTCAATGGCACCTAACAACAACAACAATGAGCAAAATATTGCATGATGCAGGAAGCATCAAAAGAAGATGGAAGGAATACACAGCACTATGCCAAAAAGAATTGGACAATGCTCAACCATTTCGAGAGGTATCATAAAATCAAGAACCAATGGTATGGAAGGAAGAAGTCCAAGATGTACTGAAGGCATTGGGGATAAGCAAGGCTCCAGGGAATTGATGAAATATAAATTGAAACGCTTCAACAAACTTATGCCGTACTGGATGCACCAAGAATTTTGGAAGACAGTTATCTGGCCAATTGATTGGAAGAGATCCATATTTGTGTGTATTCCAAAGAAAGATGACCCTACAAAATGCAAAATTATCTAACAATATCATTAATATAATATACAAGTAAAATTTTGCTTAAGACAATTCAAAAGCTGCTGCATTATTGACAAGGAGCCGCCAGAAATTCAAGTGAGATTCAGAAGATACATGGAATAAGAGATATCATTGCTGACATCAGATGAACCTTGACTGAAAACAGAGAATACCAGAAGAATGTTTACATGTGTTTTCTTGGTTATGTCAAGAATACTAGAAAAGTGTTTACTTGTACTTTATTGACTATGCAAAAGCATTCAACTGGTTAATCATAACAAGCTATAGATAACCTTGCAAGGAATGATTATTTCAGAACCCTTAACTGCTCATGAAGAACCTATACACAGACCAAGAGGCAGTTGTTAAAATACAAGTGGATTCTGAATAGTTTAAAGTCAAGAAAGTTGTGCTTCAGGATTGTATCCTTTCACCATACTTATTCAATCTATATGCTGAGCAAATAATCCAAGAATCTGGGTTATATGAAGAAGAATATGGCATCATTAACAACTTGCTTGCTCAAAGTGAAGAAAACTTGCAGTACTTACTGATGAAGATCAAAGACTACAACCTTCAGTATGGATTGCACCTCAATGTAAAGAAAATAAAAATCCTCTACACTGGATCAATAAATAGCATCATGATAACTGGAGAAATGACTGAAGTTGTCAAAGACTTCAGTTTGCTTGAATGCATAATCAGCACTCATGTAAGCAGAAACCAAGAAATCAAAGGATGTATTGCATTAGACAAACCTGCTGCAAAAGACCTTTTTAAAGTATTAAAAAGCAAAGATGTCTGTTTGAAGACTAAGATGCATCTGACCCAAGCCATGGTATTTTCAATTGCATATGCATGTGAAAGTTGGACAATTAGTAAGGAAGGCCATAGAAGAATGAATGCATTTGTGTTGTGGTGTTGGAGAAGAATATTGAACAAGCAAATATGTCTTGGAAGAAGTATAGCCAGAATGCTACTTAGAAGCAAAGAAGGCAAAATTTTGTCTCTATACTTTGGACATGTCAGGGACGGATCAGTCACTGGAAAAGGACATCACACTTGGTAAAGTGGAGGGTCAGCAAAAAAGAGGAAAACCACCTCAAGATAGGTTGACGCAGTGGCAGCACAATCACTGAAACATAATAATTGTGGGGATGGCACAGGACTGGGCAAAAGTTTGTTTTGTTGTGCACTGGAGATCTATGAGTCCGAATTTATCAACCACAACAACACTAGTATCATTTATTGAATCTTCATGGTTAAAATTTTTCTAAAAGTTCTTCATTTATTAAATACCCTATATGCCTATGAATATCAGTGCATACTTGTTGAATTTGGGCTCTGAATGGTTTTTGCAGTGCTAAATCAACTTTTGTGGGACCCAGCATTCCCCAAATTCTGAGTAAGTATATGGTTAGAGTTAAGGGTCTGGCATGGTTTCCAGAGGGGACTTCTAAGAAGGCAAGAAGAGGAAAAGGCTAAAAAGACAGGACACTGTCTTGTCTCCCAGCCATACAAGAGATTTTGAAATATTGTGTCAGACAATTTACAGCTGGGTAATGAAGATACTAAGACACACAGATGTTCTCCACTTGAAAGAACATTGAATTGTATATTGGAGAGGGAAATGGACGTATTAGAAAGGAGGTTGGGAAAACACGATGTGAAAGTAGGAATTCTATGCAGAGATCATATACACTGACTAGGGGATGTTTTGTAATGACTGCCTAGCTCACTCTCCCTGAAGCTCTCATCTCCCCTTGGTAGAAACCTCAGAGACCCTTGAGGTAGCCCCAGCCCCATTCTGGTATGCAGGGTCTGTCCTAGGGTGTCTGTCTGCAAAACCTGGGTGAACTCAGGTTACTCCACTCACAACCAGTCTGAGCTCTGAGTCTACCCCAACTGTGGGTCCTGATCCTCATGCCTGAAAGTTCATTCCAAGTTTAAGGATCAGTCTGTGTCTTTAAGCATGACTGTACAGGGTCGCTATGGGTTGGACCCGACTCGATGGCACTTAACAACAACAACATAGAGGATCATGGCTTCACTGAGCTACTCACTGCCACAGAAGACTGGCCAATTAGAGACTGAATGATCCATCTTTGTCACTGAAGACTTCATGTTGGGGGCATGTACTGACACTGTGTTTGTTTATGTCTCAGCAGGGACTCAATGCAGGGCAGAAGACTTTCTTGTCAGCAGAATATCTGAATGAACCTTTCCGAGCCCAAAGGGCAATGAGTGTTGTCAGCATCATGACCTCAGTCCTTGAGGGTAAGTGCTGCTCAATGGAACATCCATTGTGCTGTGTTAAGTATCAGAGTAGATGCCCAAAGCTTGTTCCAAATGGCACCTATCTCTGGAGTCCTGGGATCCTAACTATTCCTTCTTAGACCCTTGCCCCCATCATCTTTTATCAATGTGGGGTTTTTTTCTCTCTCTTTATTATGTTGATAGATTTTCAAAAGCAAGAATACTATGAATAAAATACTCTAGTTCATTTCACGTTCAAATTAACATGTGAGTCATATGTATTCACAAAACTAAATTTTAAAAAGTGATCTGGCAGGTGCCAGACAATTGGAAGTAATTTAACCATATTTCATTTTCTATTTTTTTAACCCAATTTCTGTCTTCAGTATCATTATGCTGAATGCTAGAAGAGAAAGGAAATCCTTGTCAATGCAGGGTTCTGTCAATCATATGGGGATTCCACCCAATATTCCCAGGGATGTCTCTAATTCCAGATGATTACAAAAAGCTATTAGGTGGAAGAAGAGAGAGGTGCTGGGTCATGGCTGTCTGTCCTGTCCATTGTGGATAACAGAAAACATGGATATGGCTTACTCTCCTAATCCAGCCTTTATTTTCCCAAGTGGGTGGAGAATTAGGCCTCAGTCAAATCCAGTTACTCATCTCTTCTAAGCAAATTAAGAATGTCTTGGACTGAAGGAGGGAGAAGGGAAGTTGGATGTTGTTTGTGTGACCCTATGTGCTCTCCCTCCATCCCTGGGTGGGGGAGTTCATGGTAGACAACAGAAAAAAAAGTGTTTGAAGAATTTAAAAATAGAGCTGATCTGTACCTTACTTTCATTCTTTCTAAAAAAAACTTTTTTATTGAAAATTGGGTGAAGAGTTACAAAGCAGATCAGTTTTCCATTCAACAATCCATACACATTTTGTTTCATCACCTTGATTGCAATCCATACAATGTAGCATCACTTATCTTACTTCCTCCCTATGTTTCCTGTTTCCATTCCTCCTTCTTTCTTAACCTTTCTGAAGTGTGTCCTTGGGTAAATGCCAGCTTTTTAAAAAAATTTTTTATCTCTGTTGTTGTTGTTGTTATGTGCCATGGAGTCGGTTCCGACTCATAGCCACCCCGTACAGGGTTTCCAAAGCTATAAATCTTTACAGGAGCAGAAAGCCTCATCTTTCTCCCACGGAACAGCTGGTAGTTTCAAACTGCTGACCTTGCAGTTTTCAGCCCGATTCATAACCACTATGCTACCAGAGCTCCTTTGGTTGATAATTCTACGGTGCATATACCTCACTGGTGTTACTGTTCTCCTTATAGGCCTATTGTTTGGCTAAAAATTGAGCCAGAGGGGTGAGTTCATTTTCAGACCTTAAGAGTGACTAAGAGCCATGATCTAAGGGCCAGTCTCTATCTAACCAATAAGCTTGGTCTTTTTTGTTTTTTGAGTTTTTGATTTTTGATTTTTTTTTGTTTTTTGATTTTGAGTTTTGTTCCATGCTTGCACCTTACTTTCTAGGTAAAGCAAGTCTTAGAGAGAGGCTCACATGCCCAGCATGGCTCAGAAATATAAATCAGAATTGACTAGCAATGTACACATAGAGAGATCTAGGAGCAACCTCAAAGAATGCCCAGTACCCCAGAGTGACACCAACTATGACAAAGTCAATGAGAGACTCTTGGGTAGTGGCAGTGGAGATGACGGGAAATGGAAAGTTTTGAAAGCTACCTGAAGATATGAAATTCAGGATTTGATGATGCACATGACTCTTGCTTGAAGAACTGAAGGGATAGAGGAGCATCAGTTCCTAAAGGAAACATTTTAGGAAAGAAAAGACTTCACTGGGAAAAGATGAGAGAAGAAGCTATTGAGTTGTGTCTGGATCACATTGTGTATCAGGTGTCATTGGGACATCCAGGAAAGAATATCCAGTAGGAAGTTAGCTTTATGATAACTTGGTCCAGAACTTAGAAGACAGGGATAAACTGTAGTTGTTTTTAAGTGCCGTGGAGTCAGTACCAACTCATAGCAACCTTGCATAGGGTTTCCAAGGAGCACCTCATGGATTTGAACTGTCAACCTCATGGTTAGCAGTCCAGTACTTGTTCTACAGCACCACACCAGGACTCAGGGAAATTAGGGATATATATTAAAAGAAATTTGAATACTGATGGCCATTTTGAAATCATTTAAATGGAAAGATCACACAGGGAAGGATCAAGTAAGCAGAGAAGAGAACCTGGGGCATAGTCCTAAAGAGCTATGATATTTAATGGTTGAACCAAGAGAAGGAGTCAGCAGAGGAGGCTGAGAAGGGATGCCAAGAAATAGGAAGAGACCCAGAAGAACACAACGCAGAGCCGAGGGTCCAACAGATTATGCTGTAGAGGTCAGGTAAAAAGAAGCCTGACATGGGGGTCTTTGAGATCTGAACAAGAAAGAAGTGCATAGAAGTCTAATTGAAGGGGATTGAAACATGGGAAAAGGAATACAGTATTGTGAACACACAATTTTCCCAAGAAATATGGTTGTAATGAGAAGTTATAAGGATGGCACTCAAAAGGATACTGAAAACACCATGGCTTGAATCAGGTACACGTTGGTCTTCAAACTGACATCTTTGCTCTTGAACACTTAAAGAGGTTTTTGTGCAGCAGATTTGCCTAGTGCAGTATGTTGTTTGATTTCTTGACTGCTGCTTACATGAGTGCTGATTATGGATCCAAGCAAAATGAAGCCTTTGACAACTTCAATCTCCTCTCCAGTTATCATGATGCTATTTATTGATCCAGTGTTAAGGATTTAAATTTTCTCTACATTTAAATGCAACCCATACCAAAAGCTGTGGTCTTTGATCTTCATCAGTAACTATTTTAAGTCTTCTTCAATTTCAGCAAGCAAGATTGTATCATCTGCATATCGCAGGTTGTTAATGAGTCTTCCTCCAATCATGATACCATGTTTTTCTTCATATGATACAGATGCTTGAATTATTTGCTCAGCATACAGATTTAATAAGTATTGTGAAAGAATACAACCCTGGGTGCGCACATTTCCTAATTTAAAACCATTCGGTGTTTCCTTGTTCTGTTCGAATGACTGCCTCTTGGTCTATGTACAGGTTCTTCATGAGCACAATTAAGTGTGCCAGAATACTCATTCTCTGCAGTGTTGCCCATAAATTGTCACTATCCACACAGGTTAAAGTCTTTGCCTAGTCAATAAAACACAGGTAAACATGTTTGTGGTATTCGCTGCTTTCAACCAAGATCCATCTGACATCAGCAATGATATCTCTCATTCAACATCCTTTTCTGAATCTAGCTTGAACCTCTGGAAGTTCTCTGTCAATGTATGGTTGCAGCTGTTTTTGTATTATCTTTAGCAAGATTTTACTTGCATGCAATATTAATGACATTGTCCAATGATTTTTACATTTTGTTGGGTCACCTCTCTTTGGAATGGGAACAAATACGGATCTCTTCCAGTCAGTTGGCCAGGTAGTTGTCTTCCAAATTTCTTAGCATAGATGAGTGAGTGCCTACAGTGCCACATCAGTTTGTTGAAAGATTTCTATTTGTGTTCCATCAATTCCCAATGCCTTGTTCTTTGCCCATGCCTTCAATGCACCTTGGAATTCTTCCTTCAGTATCATTGGCTCTTGATCATATGCTACCTCTTGAAATGGTTGAGCATCAACCATTTCTTTTTGGTACCATGATTCTGTATTTTCAGTAACCTCATATACATGTGAAAGTTGGACAGTGAATAAGGAAGACTGTAGAAGAATTGATACATTTGAGTAATGGTGTTGAAGGAGAATATTAAAAGTACCATGGACTGCCAAAATAACAAATAGATCTGTGTTAGAGGAAGTACATCCAGAATGCTCATACTTCGGCCATATTATCAGGAGGGACCAGTCCCTGGAGATGGATATCACGTTTGGTAAAGTGGAGGGTTGGAGAAAAAGAGGAAGACCCCCAACGTGATGCATTAGCACAGCGTTGGCAGCAATGGATTCAAACATAGCAACAATTGTGAGGTTGGCTCAGACCAGGCATTGTTTTGGTCTGTTGTGCATATGGTCACTATGACTCCATATCAAAGACCTAACAATAATAACAACAGAGAGGACATAGAATTGAAGGAAGATTTTTGTTGGTGTTGGTGGTGTTATCAGATTTTTTATTTTGAGTAAATACATGCTAATGGAAATGCTATGGAAGAATGGGAGAGATAAAAGATGAAGGAAAGGAAGAAAATTCACCAGAGGTGGTAGGAGAGGATGCATAGATGGAAACATTTAAATTAATGGGAGAGGGACACCTCTTGAATTGTTTCAGAAGGAAAATTATTTCTAGATTAGCTTTTTTCAAGAGACTCTTTTGGAGAGGCACAAAGATCATGTTTTAAGCTAACAAGGGCTGCTTACAATTGTCTTTTTTCCCATTCTGCTCAGAAACTGGCTGTTTCCTATTAAAAAATGACAGGTCTGCAAGATTCCTCAGTCAGCACTACTCCGAGTGTGTGTTTCTTTGTTTAAAGAAAAGAAAAGAAACTTTTTTAATTGTTCCAACTAGGAATTGTTGATTTCGTCCTAAGATGTGCCAACTTCTTTAGAGAACTGTGCTTTGCTAGCTTGTTATTTGGAGTTTCAAGCACTTCCTCTAAGGAACATCAGGCAATCTGATTAACCTTTGCTGGTTTTGAGAGGCCAAATGCTTAAGCGTTGGACTACTAACCAAAAAGTTGGTAGTTCAAACCCGTGCAGAGATGCCTTCAAAGTAAAGCCTGATGATCTACTTCCAAAAGATCACAGCCTTGAAAACCTTAGAGTACAGTTCGACTCTGCACATATGTGGTCTCCATGATTGGAATCAACTCAACAGTGAATGCTGTTGTTGTTAAATGCTGTCAAGTCAATTTCAACCCACAGAGACGCTGCATAGGGTTTCCAAGGAGCAGCTGGTGAGCTTGAACCACCAACCGCACAGTTCAAACAACTTTGCAGTCTCACACATTCGCCCACAGCACCATACCAAAAGCAAACAGCATTACTATTTCTATCTCTTGATGCCTTTGATGATTTCTAAGGAGCCCTGGTGGTGACATGGGCTAAGCACTGGGTTGCTAATCGAAAGGTCAATAATTGAAATACACCAGCCAAGATGAGACCATCTGTTTGCATAAAGATTTCCAGTATTAGAAACCCTCTGGGCTCATTTCACCCTGTCCTCTAGAGCTGCTATGAGTTGGAATCAGCTCAATGGCAGTTGATTATTTTGGTTTTGGTGATTTTAGAAATAGAAAGAGCAGCACATTATTTGATTTATTATTTTAAAATAGAACTGTTTTATCAATTTGTATTTAGAAGATGTTTGTTTCAATAGGAAATACATTATGCAGAATTTTAAAAGTACAAAAGGGCATGCAAAAAAAGTGGGGAGTGAATATACTGTCCATGCAGTTCCCCTACGCAGAAACAATCTTCAAACTAGTCGTTTTGTGTATCCTTCTAGGAGTATTCTATGTATGAGCAATAAAAAACATGCAGACTTTTTTCTTCCTCACAAATGGTAGCACATCATAAACACAATTCTAATATCTTGCTTTGATCAGTTAATATATGAGGGGCTTCAAAATGTTGGTGAAAAAATAAGATGGAAATATAATGGGATTTTTCTACAATTTTTTGAAGTCCCCTCACATGTTGCAAACCATTCTAAATCACTTTCTGGCAGAGTTGTATTTCGTTTTTACATCATCTACTAGTATTGCATAGCGTAGTGGTTACGAATCGGGCTGCGAACCTTAAGGTCAGCGGTTCGAAACTACCAGCCGCTCCACGGGAGAAAGATGAGGCTTTCTACTCCCGTAAAGATTTATACCCTCGGAAACCCTGTACAGGGTCGCTATGGGTCGGAACCGACTCGATGGCACTTAACAACAACAACAACATCATTGTTTTAACCAGTCCCCTTTTGATAGGAAGTAAATGTTATAATCATTAACTTCATAATTACATCACTTTGTCTGTGTGTTAATTTAACTATAGGTTAAAAATCTTCAAAGGAAATTATTTTATCAAAAAGAATATGAATTTTTAACTTGAAAGATAAAGCTGTTTCCTATAAATGTGTTACCAATTTCACCCACTCAAACATTGGATGAGACTAGCTGTTTACTCACACCTTCCCAAACAAGGTCACACTGATCTGACTTTGCAAATCTGATTGATGAAAATATCTTAGTAATCTCATTTTGCAATTCTCTTATTTTGAGTGTTGTTGAGTATTGTTGAGTATCTTTCCAAATATTTATAACTTTCCTTTTCTGGAACTATCTAATAATTTTTCTGATGAGTTTATCTTTTCCTTATCAATTTTTAAGAACTCATATATATTAAGAAAATGAGTATTTTGTCTGTGATATAAACTGCAAATGTTTTTTATGCTGTTTCCTTTGGCTTTATTTGACAAAATATTTTGAAGATTATAAATACAGAGTAAGTAATTAAAGTAGTGTGAGAGTTATAAGTAGTTAAATTCATAGGAGAATAGAATCTTTAAATGGATACATGTGTATATGAAATTTTAATATTTGATAGAAATGGCAATCATGCAAAAAAGGGAGATCGTTCAATAAATAGTGTAGGCATACATGACCAGAGATTGGGCGAGACAATAAGCTAGATCAGTAGTTCACTCTTCACCAAAAATAAGTTCCAGATGAGCCAAAATGTTAAAATTTTAAAAAACCCAAAACTATAGAAGAACTAGAAGAAAACCTGGGTAGCCATATTTCAAGCTCTGTGGTAAGAAAGGCTTCATATGCAAGGCATAAAAATATAGAAATACTCTATATATATAAAACAAATTCATACACACACACACACACACACACACACATGTTGCTGATGTTGTTGTTGGACACCAATTCATAGCAATCCTTTCCAAGGAGCGGTTAATGGCTTTGAACCACCAACCTTGTGTTTAGCAGGCCAGTGTTTATCCTACAATGCCACACCAGGACTCCATTTATACACATGTTGTTGTTAAATGCCATCCAATCAGTTCTGACTCATAATGACCCTGTATAGGGTTTCCAAAAATCACCTGGTGAACTTGAACTTCCAACCTTGCAATTCTAATCAACCTTGTAGTCCAGCGCAACACCAGGACTCCATATATACACACATACACACAGAAATAAACAATTTTCTGTATAATTACAAATAAATCTGCCTCATCCTTGTTCCTAATATACTTTGCTATTTTTACATTTTAAACAGTGGTCATCATCTTTCTTTGCTCACGTGGTCTGGTGTAGCTCCAAGGTGCACGTCTTGCAATGAAATTTATAGACTTCCAAGAGGAAGTTCAGTAGCACATACCAGTGGAAATCTAATAGAAGTAACAAGAGAAATGAACATGTGCTTAAGGGAGAGATCCAAAGCTGGATATATGAAATTCACATGAAGATCATTTTTAAGGCCATAGGGCCCAATGACATTAGCTAGAAGGGGGTTGTAGCAGGGTAATGAAAGACCAGGGAGAAAGTGCTTGAGTTCTCCAACACTTAGAAATAAGAAATGAAGGAGAAACCAGAAACAGAAACTCAGATGGAGCTGCCTCTGATACGGGAGAAAAACCAGGAGATCATGGTGTCCTGGAAGACAAATGGGAAAAGCTTTTCAAGGAGAACATAATAAATTTTGTCAAATGCAGTGGCAGGAAGAGTAAGGTGAGGCCTGGAAATTATCTATTTAAATTCAGCAAGGCAAAAGCCTGATTCCAAGGGTTGGGCAAAGGATAAGTGATGAGACCGTGGAGAAGGGAAGTGTAGAAAACTCTTACAAGGAAGTTTGTTGTTAATAGGACAGAAGGTGGAGAAGAATATGGTGTCCAAACAGTCCTTTTACAAAGTTAAGATATAAACAAAGCATGTTTCATGCAAAGGGGCATAGTCCAGAAGGGAGAGAAGGGGAAAACACAAGACTTGAGTAAGTGAGAAAGGAAGGACCCAGGCACACATGGGAGGCATACAGCAAGCTCCTGCACTGTGAAGGATGTGAAGGCAGACTATGGGGATGGGCTTGCAAATAAATATGCTGCAGACTTGGTGATAGAAAGATGAGGAAATTCATTTGTAAGTGAGTCTATACTCTGAGTGAAATAAAAGTGACTTGGTCAGTTGAGAGCAAGAAGTGGAGACAAGGAGTTATAGATTGGAGGAGAGAGGAGAAAGTAAGAAATGACAGTCTGTAAGAGTCAAGGTTTGGGCTGAATACAGAGACATGGCAGGATTTCTGGGCAGTGATACACTGGAGGTCATGGTCTCAAGTAGTATTAGTCAGCAGTTGTGTGTACTTCTTTCCAGATGTGTTCAGAGTCTTGGGTATAGGCTGCAAACTGGGTTTGTTCAGGGTTGAGGGTTTGCCAGGCAATCACAATAGATGGGGAGAGGGGCAAGGGAAGTAAGGGTATCTGTAAGCATAGTTAGAGAGATGCACATAAGATCTAAGCTAGATAAGGACATGGTATAGGTGATGGCCAATAAAAACAATGCAGAGGGTCATTGGTTTGGAGGGCTGGTGAATGGGGACAGAGGTTGAATCTGTTGCTGAAGGTAAGAAGCTCAAAAAGTGGGAAACAGTCATAAGAGAGAGGGAGGACTGAAGAGAGGTGCTGGAGGAGGTGGGCATTAATAACAATAAGGTCTAGAGGGTGGCCACAGGATGAGGACTGAGGTGATGCATGACTGACAGCTGTCATTGACCACACCTGTGATGCAGAACTCGAGGAATCTAAACAGAGGTGCCCACCCTGCTTTATCAGTTTGGCTAAGAAATATCTGATCTGGGAGTGCTGCCCCACATGGATGAAGCTCAAGACTCGTTTCTTTGAGATTGTGACAGACCCATTTGCCGAGCTCGCCATCACTTTGTGCATCGTGGTGAACACTCTCTTCATGGCCATGGAACACTACAACATGAGCATCGCCTTTATAACCATGCTACAGACAGGCAATATTGTGAGTGCACTGTCTGGCACTGTTGGCATGGGACTGTTGTGTGTGGGAGGGGGTGGTGGGAGGTGCTTCTGGGTGGGGAAGGAGCATGCCTCATTCATTGAAGAACTGATTGCGTTAGTGACAGAGCACAGTGACATTTTTTAAAAAAAGAAAGAAAAGAAAGGTGTTTGTTTGATGAGTCAGGAGCTCTATAAATATTATCTCACTGAAGTGTCACAACAACACTGTGAGGTTATCTTCACCTTCACTGGTCAAAAGAGAACACTAAGTCTCAGAGAGGCTGAAAATCCACCCAAGGTTGCACAGCTGCTGAGGGTGGAAGCAGAGTTGATTCAGGTCTCTCTAGAGCACAGCACCCTACCCCCACCACACCACACCACACCCACTTGCCTTCAGAGGACACTCAAAGGGTGTTCTCTGAATTAGACAGTTGTAGACTTGTAGCCTGGAGCAAGTCACTGGAACGCTCAGCCTGTTTCTCAGCTTCCAATTGTCTGTTTCATAGGCTAGAGAGCAACTTTGATGGCATCATAAGAGAGGAAACACCTGATCTGGTTCTTAGCTTTCATCCTCACCTGTCTTCCATTCCTGCTGCTTGTTTTCGGACTTGAGCCTCGTCCTGACTAATCCCAACTTGAGAATTCTATCCTAAGACAATTGCCTTACAGACAGACACGCAGAACTGAAAAGAGCCTTGTTGGTGGCATTAGTTGCCACCAAGTTGATTCCAGTTCATGGCAATCCTTCATGTGCAGAGTAAGAACTGGTCCACAGGCTTTTCAAGGCTGTGAGCTTTACTCCAAGGCACCTCTGGGTGGGTACCAACCACTAACCTTTCGTAACTATTAGCAACCCCCAGTGACTCCTTAAAAAGAACCATAAGGAAAATGTATTATTATTGTTCTTGCTAATAACCTTATTTATTAATGAACAACCACCTACCAGGCTCTTTGATAAAAAGTCCAGTATCTCATTTTATGTCCCTTAGATAGATCAGGAAATTGAGATATGGAGAGAATGGGTTAATTGTCCAAGGTTACACAAGCTAGGAAATGTTTGAGTTGGGAGTGTTTATCTGGGTTTGTGTAGCTCTAAAATTCATGCTTTTTAAACTACTGGCATCTCATCTACATAATTGTATAATAATTACTGTCCTAATGATTGCTCCCACTTACTCCACTTATCATTTATTATGGAAAAACAGGCATGGGTTTTACTGCACTGTCCCTGAGCACTGGTTGAGACATTTCTCCATTCTGCCACGTTGATTGTGCCTGTCCCCAAACCTTCAAGAGCCTTCAGATAGCATAGACATTGAACAAAAGCAAGATAAGAGGGTTTGCTTTTTCAGAAACAAGACATTTTCCTGATGCTATATTTGCCATTGCCTCCTGACCCAACAGATTCCACTGTGTTGAAACCATGCTTCTATCCACAGGTCTTTACTGTATTTTTTACTGCTGAAATGGTCTTCAAAATCATTGCCTTCGACCCCTACTATTACTTCCAGAAGAGATGGAACATCTTTGACTGCATCATTGTCACTTTGAGCTTGTTGGAGTTCAGCATATCTGGGAAGGGATCTCTAAGTGTGTTTCGGTCCTTCCGTCTGGTAATGTTTTCCCTTGGCAAATAGGGGCAAGTCCCACCCAGATTCAGGGAGCCCACTGTTGGAAACAGCCACCATCCTTAGGGGAGGGCTCCACCAGCCAACTCCTTCTTCGTCTGCTATCCCTGTGGGAGGGAGGCCAACGAGGGCACCTGGGAGTCTGGAATATTGGGTCTGGCCTCCGTTCTTCATTGACTCCAAGTGGGACATGCTTTCTCCTCTTTAGGCCTCAGTCCCATCAGTCATCTACACAAAGAGGTGGCTTCTGATTATGATTTTTGTTCTCCTGTCAAATAATATAGTAACAATGATAATAATATCAACTAGTGTTTCTTGAACACTTACAATGTGTCAGGCATAGTGCTAAACACACCAATCAATCAGCTGCTGTTTAGTCGACTCCAACTCACAGCAACCCTATGTGTGTCCAAAAGAACTGTGCTCCACAGGGTTTTCAATGGCTGAGTTTTCAGCAGTAAATCACCAGATTTTTCTTCTGAGATACTTCTGGGTGGACTAGACCCCAGATGATGGGATAGTAGCAGAGTTCTTAGTCATTTGTACCACCAAGAAACTCAGCCCCCAAAAATATATTACCGTACAGTACCTCGTTTTTGCTCACTCTAACTCTACGAATTACTTGGTTTTAATATCTCCATGGATAGGTGAGAATAGCTGAGACACTGAATGGCTAAATGGTGACCCTAAAGTTTCACAGCTGCTGAGCAAGTGACAGAGCTGGAAGTCAAGTCTCAGTCATCTAATTCCAGAGTCCCAGGTCCTTCCCATTGCTAGAAGACCTCTGATGTCCCAGCACCTCAAGTCAGAGTTCAAAATGTATCACAAACACCAAAACTACCCCTCCTCATTTACCTAACCTATACTCCATGGCCCATAAATATTATTTTGCATTGAAAATAAACCCAGCCACCTTTCCCCTTTACTCCTTTACATTTTGTATTTGGAAAGCCGTGGTGTGGCACTGTAGGATAAGCACTGGACTCCTAGCTACATGGTCAGCAGTTCAAATCTACAGGTACTCCTCAGAAACCCTATAAAGGGTAGCTATGAGTCAGAAATGACTCGATGGCACTTAACAACAACAATAACAAATCCAGGGTTGAACACAAATATCTCCCTCCACCATGCCTACACCCGAGCTGTAGATATTACTGGGGTGGGAATCACATAACCCAACTAATAAGCGTTTAAGAACTCTAATCACAAACTTCAAATGGATACTCAACATGACCAACAATCCTACCATCTTTCCGAGGGTCTATGTTACCTAGTTACACCCTTTCCTACACTTCAAAATGACTATTTAATGCCTTTTCCTCTCAATCTCCTCACCTCCTCTCTCCCAACCTACCATTACACCCCACTCTCAACTAATGATCTTGCCCTAATACTGAATCAAAAAACGAAAACCTTCTAAGAAGAATGCCCTTATTCCCACCACCAAGTCCCTCCATGGGTATATCTTCGTACAACTTGTCTGTATTTCTCCTGAGACAATACAAGTGTCTCTTCTCCTTTTACAAAGCTGTCCCTCCTCTGGGGTTCTGAACCCCATTCCTTCTCTCTTTCTCCAAGATTTCACTCCTTCAGTTACCACCCATCTCTCTGAAGCATTATCTCCTCTTACTCACTAATGAACAATTCCCAGCCTTTTAAAAACATGCTACCACTTCCAACTTAACAAACAAAAACAAACAGACCAAAACTTCTCATCTCATCGCATTTTCCAGCTACAGCCTAAGCACATTCCCTCCAATGGGTAACATCTGGACCCTCACCTCTCACTTTCTCCTCAACCTTGTCTCACATGACTTCTGTCTCCCATCAGATAATGTCACTTGTGATTTTTATGTTGTCAAAACCAGTTTGCCTTTCTTTTCTAATCTTAATTTCTCAAGCCTGAGGGCAATAATAACCTATGGTCCTTGAAACACCCTCACAGGAAGTTCGTTTTGGTTGCCTTAACCCCTCCTTCTGTTCTTAATTTCTAATATTTAGAGTTCCCAGGGCTTTACTTTTTTCTTCATCTTCAATGGTTTTACAGGAGCGTACTAAACACCAAGCATCTATTGACAGATCTAAAATCTGAACTCCAGAACTTGATATGGAACTCCTCACATGGCCTCTTCATGTAGTCACTACAAATTTAGCAAACCTACAAAGGAATTCTTTAATACCACTTCTCCAGACCTGCCCCGTTTGTTTACTGATACCTCCATTCATTCTTTCTGACAAGCCAAAAACAAAGCAAAGGTTGAACCATGATTTTTCTATTTTCCTCATCTCTCACTTCAAATCCAACTCCAGGTCTTACTGATTATAGCTCCAAAATACATCTAAAGTCTGTCTATGTCTTTCTATCTTCACTGCCCCAACTATGGTGTAAACCATAACTGTCTCTCATTGGATTTCTGCCACAGCCTTCCATTTGATCTCCCTACCTCTACGCAGAACTCTACAATCACTTCTCTACCCAGCAGCACCACCCTCTAAGTCTTCAGTGTTATTTCAATAATTACTAATGCTCTAAGAATACAATCAAGACCCTTATTACAGTCTACCAAGTCCTGCAGAATCTTTGTGAAAACTCCTACAGATAATCTTCCTCTTCATGACTTTGCTCCAGCCAGAAAAGCCTTGTCTCTCTTTACCACACATAACAGAACTTTCCCTGGGTATAAATCTTCTCACATTTTATCCCTCTGCCTGGAATAAATTTCCCCTAGCTCTTCACTTATTTCATTCATTCGCATCTTTCCGGGCTCAAGTCCCACATCACTTCCTCAGAGATTCCTTCCCCAATGGATTCCTTCATCAAATTAACCTGTTTTTTTATTGTATAAAATTACTCTGCTATTCCGTGAGGCAAGAACCAATTTTCTTTTTATCATTCTATTCCAAGGCCCTAGCACAATACCTAGCACGTAGTTGTTGCTACTGTTTAGTGAGGTCGAGTCAGTTCTGACTCATAGTGACCCTGTAGAGGTTTCCAAGTAGTGGCTGGTGGATTGAACCACCAACCTTGCAGTTCAAACCGACCTTGTGGTTCAGTGTTCATCCTATAGCACCACACCTATAGTAAATAGTAGGAACTCAATAAACATCTGGTGATTGACTAATTGAAGGAAGCAAAGAACAAAGGAAACAGAGGGAAAAAAGAAAGAAATTCTGTGTCTTCATTCTTGCTTTTTCCTCTCTCCAAAAATTGCATCACTCGTCTCATTATTTAAGGCCTAGTTCTATTAATCCATTGGTCTATCCTTATACTAATCTATGTATATGGCAAACTTTTCATTTATTGAGATCTTTCATCAAATATCTTTCAAAAGAGTTTATAAAGATAAACTTACAAATTTCTTTCAAAACTCCTTCAAAGGAGTTTATAAAGATCTAGCATATCTTTTGTTAGATTTATTTCTAGGTACTCCTCCAGTTTTATATTCTTTTATAAATGACATCTCCTTTGAAATGTCCCTTGCTGGTTTTTTCTGTGTGTGTGTGTGTTTTTAAAATAGTACTGTGATGTTTAATATTTTATCCAGAAATCTCTTATTAATTCTCATGATGTATCTATGTCACTTTGAAATATCTTTGGACACAATCATATCATGTGCAAATAATGAGTTTTGTTTCTTCTTTTCTAATACTTACCATATTTTTTATTATATTATTGTGTTGGTTAGGACATCCAGTACAATGTTGAAAAGAAATGTTAATTGCAAACATCCTTGTCTTTTTCTTGATCCCACAAAGAACCAAGTCTGATATTTGTGGCAAGATTTTTTACGATTCCCTTTAACAGTTTAGAAAGTTCTCTTTTGTTCAGAATGTTTATCATAAATGGATGTTTAATTTTATCAAACAATTGTTCTGCATCTATTAAGATAATCATATGATTTTCTCCTTTAATCTTTTAAAGTGGTGAATTATGTTCATTGCTTTTCAAACCGTAATTAACTTTGCTTATATTCTTGAGACAAACTCAACTTGCTCACAATGCATTTTTTTTTTTTTTTTATCCATTGGAAGATTTTGTTTGCTAATAATTTTTAAGAGTCTAGCATTCAGATTGATGAATAATATTTGAGTGGTACAAATAGCTAACACAATCAACTGCTAACCATAAGGTTGAAGGTTCAAGTCCACCCAGAGACTCCTCAAAAGAAAGGCCTGATGACCTTTTTCCAAAAAAATCAGTCATTGACAACGCTATGGAGTATCATTTTACTCTGACACACATGAGGTCACCAGGAACTGGAGTTGACCAATAGTAACTGGCTTGTTTGTTTTCATTTTCCTTAGTTGCCTGTCTTCGCCAGCTTTTTTTTATCAAGAAATCCAAGTTTTATCATTATCCATTAAAAAAAAAAAAAAAAAAAGTTAAGGAATATTCCTCATTTTCTATACCCAGTCTTTGAGTAAAGATCGTTGTTTGGCAGAATTCACTGGCGAAGCCATCTGGGGATCAAGGCTTTTGTCTACTGATACGAGTTTTGTAACAATGATGAAACTAGTCATGTTTTCAATTTGTCTAGTTGGTTTTGGTAAGTTATATATTTTTAAAATGTTTCCTTTGTATCTAAATGTTCAGATTGGCTAGAATAAAGTTGTATAGACTTTTATTGCTTAGAGATCTACATCAGTCTGTATCTTTTTCTTTCTTAATTTGTGCTTTTTCTATCTTTATTCCCTTTAGTTGAAGAGTTGTATCAATTTAATTTGCCTATTCAAAGAATCAACTTTTGGTTTTTTGGTCCTGTCTATTCCATTGATGTTTTCTCTATGAATCCTTCATTGTTTCTTAATTATGTCCTCCATTCTGTGTGTTTTATTCTTTAGTTCTAACTTTAAGGATAAAATTTTCAACCAATTTTCCTTTCCAATATATTCATTTAAGACTTAAATTTTCTTCCAATAACTTCTTTAATATACAGAGTTTCTCTTATTATTTGGTTCTGAATAGTTCTTAATTTCAGCTTTAA